ACCCCATTCCATCTCCTCCAAGGGCGGCTCCAGTCTCTGCCCTCCATCATATGGCTGCATGGGTCTCTCTGTTTCTTGTGTTGTGTTTGGATGTCCTCTGTTGGATAATAGATGTTTTCTTTGTTGTATATTGGAGGGGAAAGATTTCTGAGAGACCTTGCTCCACCATGATGCTGATGTCACTCCTATCCCTTTAAGGTATAAAATACCAAACTATTGCCCCATGGTTTTAGAATTTGACACATTTAGTTAGACAATGAAATAATCTGTATTACAGAGAAAGGTTCATAAAGCTGTTCATCTCAAACTGAAAGCCTTTTGATACTATTTAGGCAGTAAAAATAGTCAAAATATTTGATTCAGTAACCTCTGAAGAAAAAACTTGAGAATTATTTTTAATCCTACAATGGTTTGCTATCTTTTGTTCCCAAAGAAGACATTATTGACCCATTTTTAGTAAAGAATGAACTTTGAAGTATTTCTCGAGTCAAGGTGATGGATTTATACTAATATTCTGTAAATGAAAAGGTAAATGGAACTACAAAATGATGACTTTTACACCTTAATGTTTAGAGGACTTTATGTTATGTTTTATATATTAATTATTTAAATTTGGATCTAAAAGCAAAGCCATACTCTTCACCAGGTCTGGGTTGTTTGGGGATGGAAGAAGTGAGATTGTAGTATTTGATACTTGAGTCTAGAAATGATTAGGGACTTGTGCCAGTGCCAGCAGGTGTAACCACTTGACTTTTTTGTTATAAAAGATCAATACAGAGCTTCCTGATCACGTCAACTTGTAAAATAATCCACCTTGGTGGTTCAGATTGCTTCTAAAGAACTGACAACTCACCCTGCAGTCTGGTCATCTGCACTGCTAGATTTAACTGTAGTGAGTTTTCTAGAGCTTCATTTCTATTACTCCAGAACTACTGCCATGAACATTTTGTTCATTTTAGCTGAATGCCAGGAAAAATGTTTAAATATTTAATTGAGCCTGAAAATAAGGCATATAGTTGAAACCTTAATCCAGTCAGAATGTTTCAAAAGTAGGAGGAGAAAATTGGTAGTTGGGCTTTTCTTGTGGAAAGCCAGAATATTATATTTGATTCCAGTTTGCAAGTTATTTTCACTACTATCTCACATCATAGCCCAGCTCCATCAATAAAATATGCAGTGAGTCACCCTCCCATAGATATTCTCCAGCATGAGCTGGAATATTTGCTGCAGTTTACAGCTGCAAGTGTTATTCCTAGCAATCCTCATCCTTCAATAGTTAAGTTGGTCTTCATTTAGGACCAGGATGATATTTCCTTTGAGCAGCCCTCCTACATGGACTAATTAGGTTTTAAAAAATACTTGGGTATATTATAGAATAAAATTTTCCCCTCTGAAGCCCAAACATACTATCAAGATATTAAATTGGAGTTTGTTACTCACTGTTATTCACAGTCTTTGGTGGTGTATATAATTGTGGCAAGAGTCCCTGGGGGAATCATATTAAAATTCAGACTCTGGTTGAATCTGAAGAACCAGTGTCCCCCTCCACTCAAGTGTCCATTTGGGTGAGTCACTATGTATGGGATGAAGAGGCTTGTAAAGAGGAATTTTGTGTGCAGATCCTCAGAGGTAGAAGACAAAGAATGACAGGGAATGGTGGGATGGAGACAAGGGAAAGGAAAATGATCAAAAGATGTAGGAACATCCCCAGATTAAAAATGAAGATGATTCTTGTTGGAAACATGAAGGCTGTATATCTAAAGGCCTACAGAGGGTAACAAGGGCTCCAGAGAATGGACTTTTCCTTTGATGCTTGCAGAAACACTAGTGGTTCCAGAATTTCTTCTAGACTCTGAACCAGAAACTGCCCTCTTAATGTTGAAGACGAAGGGCAAAGAAGCCCATGAACTAAGCTAAATAAAGGGCAATGTGGGCAGACTTTGGGGGAATTTCACAATGGAAGTTGTCCTCATTCCCTTTTTTCATTTGGATGATGAAAGTGGGGGGCACAGAGTCTCCCTTCCCAGAAGGTTTGACCTTTGTTTTCTTTTCTTTTCTTTTTTTTTTTTCTTTTATTTTTTCCTTTTTCTCCCTGAAGCCCCTCCGGTACATAGTTGTATATTCTTTGCTGTGGGTCCTTCTAATTGTGGCATGTGGGACGCTGCCTCAGCGTGGTTTGATGAGCAGTGCCATGTCCACACCCAGGATTCGAACCAAGGAAACACTGGGCTGCCTGCAGCGGAGCAAGTGAACTTAACCACTTGGCCACGGGGCCAGCCCCTGACCTTTGTTTTCTTTTCACATGTTGGAGGATAGCATGTTGGAAGATAAGTCCTAGGGGCAACAGTGGGGAGTAACCTAAGAGAAGAAAGTGGGCAAAGCTGGCGCATGAACTAGAAAAGACTTGGTCAGTTACAGGCTGATGGATGTAGGTTGTCTGTGCTCTGCCAAGGAACTGAGGGCTTGGTGTGTTTCTCTAGTCAGGATCTTGAAATTCAGAGGATGCTTTAAAAGGGAGCAAGTGATTGTAAAAAGACAGACTGACACTTACTTCTCACAATCACCCTCCTTCCCAACCAACACACTTCCTGAATTACAGCAATTCCAACAAAGACATAGACTGCTGCTAAAGTGTCTGCAGGGGACCCAGATTAGTCAACACTTAACTAAGCAGGAAAATTTAGAAAGACAATTTGTCTGGAGGATGCTCAGATTTTGAGTACCAGGAGGTACAGTACACCTTGCTTCAAGTGACTGGGCACAGAGTGGACATCCACAGAAAGGCCAGAACTGAAGCAATTGGAAGGGCTGGCCCTGAGCATAGAGGACTCCCATAAGTCGCTGGGGAGACCTGGGGAGGGGTGCTGAAGTCCTGAAGCTTGGTGCTAAGGGTTTAGAACTAGTAAAATGTGGGGGCCCAAGCAGTTTGACTCACTTGTCTCCACAGGCTGAAGAAGCTTGGGGAGAATCAGGCTGTTAATAGAAAACTCCTGGTCTTTTAAGCTTATGACCATTGTGGTGGCTTTGCTAAGGCCTGGACTCTGCTCCCTAGTTGCTTAGCTATCCTTGTCTTGAAGCTGTCATGTCTGCTATGGCAAGAGCGTAATTAATTTATTTCCCCGATTCTGAGACACAATCAATTGTAAGACATACCTTGGTTTAAATAGGAGGTTTCTAGGAAGAAAAACCTACTATATTAAGTTGTACATTGATTTTAAGATGCAATCCCAATTTTAGAAACATTAAAATGCCACAAAATGTGTGGCTTAGAATTGAAGAAATACAGTAGTAATGCAGCAAGGTACAAACACTAATGGCTGAGATTGATTCTTCTACTGGAATTAGAATGGACCTTCATTTGCGCTATTTCCTCTTCCCTTTCTGAAAGAAAGGACAGAAGGGAAATTAGCACTTATTAAATGTCTGCTGTAATAGTAAAAATGGTGGAGACATCAAATATGTGTTAACTGCTTATTATGTGCCAGGAATTGTTCTAAGTGATTTCACATATGTTATTTTATTTAATCCTCATAATAATCTTGAGAGGTAGGTATTTGAAATACTATTAATCTCTATGAGGCTCAGTTTCCTCATTTTTGCAGATCAGGAAACCAAGATACACAGAGAATAACTTCTCTGGGGTGACATAGTTATTAAGCAGCAAACTTGGGATATTAATGTATAAACCTAGGGCTGCTTAGGTTTTTTTTTTTTAAAAAAAACTCATATGTTGACTTTTTATTCTCTTTCTTAAAAACTCCAAAATATATCATGTATATATAATATGTGTACATTTAAAAAATTGTAAACGTAAGTAACTATGTACTCCCCACTCAACTAAGAAATAGTATGTTCCCAATGTTTTTGAAGCTCACTATGTGTCTTTCTCATTCTCTTTCCTTACCCCTAGTTAACCTCTACTCCAAACTTTGGGATGATCATTGCTATTTTTCAAGTTTTTACCACCTATGTATGTATCTATAAATACTGTATTATTTAGTTTTGCCTGTTTTTGAACTTTATTTTTACTGAGGTATAATTGAAATGTAACATTATATTTGTTTCAAGTGTACAACATAATGAGTTGATATTTGTCTATATTGCAAAATGATCACCATAAATCTAGTTAGCATGTCACCATTTTTGAACTTTATGCAAATGGAATCATACCTTATGTATTCTTCTGTTTTTTAGATTCTTCCATGTTGGTGGTATTGCTATAGTTTATTCATTTTCTCTGCTGTAGAGTAGTCTATGGTATGCATATGGCACAGCATATGTATACAATATATCTATGAAAACTGTTTACTGAGATATTGAGTGACTTGAAGGTCAGTTTCTCTGGTGAACCACCCCAGGCTTCAGGCCTGTCTAAAGTATATTCCCGTACATACACTTAATGTTTTCTTGTACATGTGACTTCATATTTGTTCATAATAGACTTTTTCTACCTGAAATATATCCTGAAACATATTTGAGTTGTTATCTCTCCAGCTTCATTTCTTCCGCTTCCCATCGTATATTTTATACTCAGACATGCTGAATCACTGCTGTTCTGAAACTGCGAGTTCACCATGCTCTGTTACCCCTAGGCCTTTGTCCATGTTGCTCTTTCTGACTGGAGTGCTTATTTTCTGGCTGACTCTTGCCCACCTGTCAGATGTGTCTGGTTACAAAAGCCTTCCTCCACCACATTCTAGTGTGGGGCTTCCCCTTGAGCTTACCAAGGGTGCTTCCTGTCGTCATCTCAGGGTTGGTTTTCCAAAGGATCCAACATATTACTGAATAAAACCTCAGAGTTGCACTTGGTGCCTGGAAAGATGGTATAAAAGATCTGTTTTGTATAGTAGTAACTGTGATGAGTGGGAAATATGGAAATACCACTTAGAATGGTCAGTACTCAATTAAAAAATGTTCTTAGGTTGGAGGTAGGGCACAAGTCACATCCTTGTTGGTAAAAAAGAGATGGATAAATACATATTATTTTAATTTGCCTTCAGGTCTTCTGGCTAGATTCTAGAGGACTTTCTCCAAAAACAACAAGGTAAGTCAGACGGAGAACGCCAAATACTGTATGATTTCAGTTATATGTGGAAGAGAAAACAACAACAACAACAAGAAACAGAGACATAGACACAGGGAATAGGTTGGTGGTTAGCAGAGGGGAACGGGGGAAGGGGGGAGGGTGAAAGGAGTAAAAGGGCACATTTAGATGTGATAATGGCAACTAGACTTTGGGTGGTGAACATGATGTAGTCTACACCGAAGTCTAAACATAATGATGTACACCTGATGTTTATACAGTGTTATAAACCAATGTCACCTCAATAAAAATGATTAATTATAAAAAAAGCCAACCCTCTTTGCCTGGAGTTGGCTCTCTGGCAAGGGAAAGAAACCTCTCATTTGGTTCCCTCTTGGTGTTTTTCTGACACCAGCTGCTTATCTATTTGACATCTCACCAAGAAATACCTCAAGGGATGGTTGGAGATGGGAAGTAAAAATCAAAGTAGTTGGTTATATACTTAAAAAAATAAGCTTTTGATTTTTGAATAGTTTTAGATTTATATAAAAGTTGCAAAGACCATACTAAGAGTTCCTAGATCCCCTCACCTAGTTTCCCCTTTTATTAACATCCTCCATTACCATGCTACATTTGTCACATCTAAGGAACCAACGTTGGTATATTACTGTTAACTATACCCTACGACTTGAATTTCCTAGTTATTCCCTAATGTCCTTTTTCTATTCCAGGAATCCATCCACAATGCCACATTATTTATTTATTTAATTTATTTTTCTTATCTCCAAAGCCCTCCAGTACATAGTTATATATTTTAGTTGTGGGTCCTTCTAGTTGTGGCATGTGGGATGCTGCCTCAGCATGGCTTGATGAGCAGTGCCATGTCCGTGCCCAGGATCCGAACCAGCAAAACCCTGGGCTGGAGAAGCAGAGCGCACGAACTCAACCACTCAGCCATGGGCCCGCCCCACCACATTATGTTTAATCATAGTGTCTTCTTAGCCTCCTCTGGTCTGTGACAGTTTTTTGGACTTACCTTGTTTTTGATGACTTTGACAGTTTTGAGTAGTGTTGGTCAAGTATTTTGTAGCACGCCTGTCAATTTGAGGTTGTCTGATGTTTTTCTCATGGTTTGACAGGGGCTATGGGCTTCGGGGAGGATGAGCACAGAGGAGAGTGTGATTCTCATTACTTTATATCAAGGATACATGCTATCAATATGACATCACTGAGTTTACATACTTTTTAATGTCTTTCGTTAAATGGTTGGATGATGAGAGCATACATGTTGAAGTTGGAAGACTGATTTCAGATCATAACTCTGTCACTTATTAGTGTGTGACTTGGGAAAGTTAGTCAATCTCTCTATTCCTTAGTTTCCTCATCTGTAAAGTGAGGCTAACAATAATATCTACCTCAGTAATTAGTAAATACATGAAAAACACTTAGAGCAGTATCTGGCACAGAGGAAGTAGGATATAAATTTTGACTTTTATTGATATTATTGACTAACACAAGATTTCTATTATATTTTTCCTATCTCTCTTTACCTCAGAAAATCAAACTGGTGGTTTTTAGTGATTTAAAAAAATCACAAACAACCCTGGTTTTAAATTTTGAACGTGGGAAGACCTTTGTCTTATCGTCTCTTGGAGTTTTGAATTATCCCTAAAATATTGTACTTTCCCTTAAAATTTGCATTGTCTGTCAATGAGAATCTTTGGCAGAAGACTCCTTTGAGTATTTTCATTATAATATAATTTTGTTTATATAATTCAGTTATTAAACTTGTGCTGCTTCCTCTTACAATTTGAAAATTCTCTTCAGCGTGCTGGCTCTTTTAACCATTGATCCACTGATATATTTCTGGTTCTCCAGACCAGGTGTGCAATTCTAATGAATAATCTGTGAAAAAGAGTTATTACTGTTTTCTTCCCTTTGGCCCAAGCAAGAGAATCCCAGGGTGTCTTTCAGCATTTATTAATATTACAAATGAAGATTTAATATTTTTCACTGCATAGGTAATGGTTGATCTTAACATCTCTAAATAGGAAAGACAGTTGCATTTACAAATCTGTATGTCAGTTTTCTGATGCATTTTCCACTTTCCTATTTGCAATTCTAAGTAATAATTTTGAATACTGATTCGGAATATTAACATATATTCTTTTGCTGTTGGGATTTCTGAAAATTTCATTTGGAACTTCGCAAAATGTTTTAGGCAAATCCAGATATGCATATTTGAAAATATTTTTGTTTAACGCCTTATTTTTCTCCCGAAAATGGTATCACCCTGGCTGTTAGTCTCTTTTCTTTTTGTTTTGTTTCTTGGCAATTTTGGCCAGTAGAATAGAGACATTTATAGAGAATCTGTGTGTGCATGTATGTGTGTGTGTGCATGTGTTTGTAAGTGGGTGCCCATGCATAGGCATGTCATGTGTTGGATCAATAAAGAGAACATTTGCCTTTAGCAGCTAAAGACATTTTCACTGAATACTTACAATGACCCACATACTCTTTTAAGCACTTCACGTACATTATCTCATTTGATTCTTACAATAATCCTATGATGTTGGTACTGTTATTGTTCCCATTTTTACCGATGAGGAACCTGAGACAGAGAGAGGTTAAGTACTTGCCCAAATTCACAGAGCTAGTGAGTGACAGAGCTGGAATTCAAACCTAGGTCGATCTGACTCCAAAGTCCATCCTCTTTCTCTACCATTGCATGTTCCCTGGAACATACCCCTTATACTATTTTCTCTGAGATGTGGCATGTATCACTCTCATAATATCTTTGTGTGTATGTGTTTAGGAATATATCCTTCTAGACTTAATTTTTAAAGTGAGAAATAACATACATAAAGTAGCCAAATCTCCAGTATATAACTCCAGGTACTTGTACATATGTACACAGCCACGTAACCACTCCCAAGATCAAGACATGGAGTATTTCTCATACTCCAGAAGACTATCTAATGCCCCTTTCCAATCATAGCCATCCCCCCCACCCCCAAAAGGTATCACTAATGTGGCCTTCATCAACATAAATTTTGCTTGCTCTTGAACAGCCTATAAACGGAGTAATATAATAAGTACTCTTTTCTCGTGTGGCTTCTTTTATTTAAAACTATGTTTGATATCTATTTATGTTGTTATGTGTTTATTTTGTTATATCTTTTTTATTGCTATGTATAATATCCTTTTAAAGCTAACATTTCCTTCTAGCTGCACAAGTAATTCATTTTCAAAGCAGAGAATTTGGGTAAATAGGAAAAAGCACAGACAGGAAAATAAGAATGACTGGTAATTCCACTACCCAGAGGTAATTATTTTTAAAGCGTTTGATTATACCCTGTCAGGCTTTTTTTTTCCTATGCATATATAATTACTAGATTTGGATTATATATACATTTCTGTTTTATAACCTGTTATTTTCTCTTAACAGTTTATCATGACCATTTTCCATGTCATTAAACATACATTTTTTTACAATGATCTAAAAATAGTTTTAAAAATATTTTTATTAAAAAAAATGGGTTTTTTTGGTGGTAATGGGGAATGTGTAAAGTATTCACAAGACACAAAATTCAAAAGGTACAAAAAGGTATGAAAAGTCTCCTGCAATCCTTACTCTAGCCACCCCTCCACTTCCTCCCCTACCCCAGGTTCCAGCATTACCAGTTTCCAGTATATTCTTCTAGAGCTATTCTGGGCACATATAAACAAATATGTATGCATGTTATTTCTCCATTTCTATGCAGAAATGTTAGCAGACTACAGTATTTTGCCCCTTGCTTTCTTTACTTAATAAGGTTTCTTGGGGATATTTCCACATCAGTATCAAGAGCTTCATTGTCCTTAACGTATGATAAAATGCTTACTTGACTCGTATTAAGCGAATTACAAATTACAGCTACACTGAGACAGCACTTTTCATCTGACTGGCAAAAATAAAATGGCGTTCGATGTTGTCAAAGTATAAAGAAATAGTAATAGTCAAGCACTATTCTAAACAGTTAACTTGTAACAAGTCATTCAATTCTCATAGCAACCCTATGAAATAGGTTTTATTTTTATGCTCATTTTACAGAGGAGGAAACTGTTGCACAGAGAGGATAAATAACTTACCCAGGGCGCTCTTGTACAATGCTAGGGGAGAGTAAACTGATACAATTTCTATGAAGAGAAATTAGACAATAGCTATGAAAATTATGCGTTTACTCTTTGACCAGAACTGTACTTCTAGGAATTTATCTTATCACATACTCTCATGTGAGAAATTACACATATACAAGGTTATTTTTTGTAGCAGTGTTTATAGTAGGAAGGTATCAAGGGCTGAGCTAGAGAGAGCTGAGCTGCCAAAAATGAAAGCACCAGTCAAGCCTGTCATTACTGCTCTAGTATAAGCAAGAGGCTACCCAAGAGAAAGCACGGGCTCCCCCAGGGCTCCATTCTTTCCCTGGGAATGGCACCTAGCAAGGGTCAGGTGGATCCATGCAGATGTGAAGATCTTATCACTGCCAAGGGAGCCCTGAACAAAGGGCTTCTGCCATTTTATGGAACCAGAGACTGGGATAAGCGAGAGAGGGAGGAGGTGGGAATGGAAAAATAGTACTCACTGTGTACTGAGTCAGAGTAGAGAAAAGTGTCTTCAAGATTCCCCCCCAGCCCCCTGTGATAAGGAGGTCTCAGCAGAGGTGTCTGTGAAAGGCTCCTGATAAAGAGGCCTCCAAATGGAGGTGCCTGGGCTAGGGCTGCAGCTATATGTAAGGGCATGGTTGGCTGGGGGCCTGAGCCCTTGACTACAACTCCCTTCCAAGACTGCAGGGCACTGGCTGTGCACCAAGTCTGGTATGGGAGGGCAGCTTTTCCCAAGAGACTTGCTAGGTAAAGCCTTTTTAATTGCCTGTGGTTGGGCCTGAGAGACCAGACATAGGTTTTTGGCCAGAAGTCAGGCTCCTCACTAAGATTAGAAACAATTTAATTGTTCTTTGGTAGGATATTGGTTGAACAAA